GGGAGGGCTTCTCCTTGTGGGCGATAGTCAACAGGAGGTCCAACCGTGCCTTTACTTCTTTGCGTGTGGGTGCGGGCGGCACTGTGCACAGCTTGGATGGTGGTTTCATATTGGTTGACCATGGCTCTCAGGTATTTACATGCGCGGACAGCTGCTTTCCTTGTGCTCGGCCCATCCTCTGGCTGGTTCTTGGCGGCCACTGCGAGAATGTCCCTCGCTTCTTCTTCTGGCGACCGTTTGGGTTCCGCATCAGGTGGAGGTGCATCAAGAGCGGTACCTTGAACTGGCGCCTCTGCTGCGCGTGGCAGGTGGTCTGGGATTGGCAAGTTTGGGTGTAATCGCCATCCATCAAAGAAATATATGCCAGGCAGGGACAGGATCTCCTGGTCTGGGCCTGTCTGTGCTACTATATTCCCGGTGCGTGTTTTATACAGTCCTGAAGGTAGGCACACATAGGTGGGAAAGGGTGTGCGATCAGCAGCATAGGCATATAGGACGACTTCGGAGAAAGGGAGATGTTGCTTGGGGAGCCACTTGTGTTGGGTTCGTAAGCCGGCTTGAATTTCTTGGAAGTGCCCTCTGTCCAACCATCGAAGGTCTGACCCTCGGACCAATATCAGACGGTACCTTGCTCGCTTTACCTCATTAGCTTGCTGATCGTAGTATTGGTTGGCGATAGCAAGGGGCGGGTGTTCCCTGTTTGGTGGTGAATTCAGTGACCATCGGCTTAATTGTGCAAGATTCTCTTGTACTGGGTCAGGGTTAAATTCTGGCCACTTCCATGTCGTTTCTCCTCTCCGTAGGCCCCCGATGCCGTAGGCGATGGTGGCAATCACCTGTGCCATGCCCATGAGCCCCATCATATCCAGAGGAGAGACTAGCAAGGTTAATGATTTGGACCGGGTGAGTCCTACGTGATTCTGCCCAGGCAATCTTCTGTATCTTCTGTAGGAGAGCCATTGGAGTAATATTTAGTGTTGAGAAAACCAATGCTGGGCTGAGCTACGATTGATACCTGTGCTGTTCCTCCTGCTGAATTGGCGATTGTCTCGACACGCAGGGTGCGAACATAGTCTCTTTTGAGCACGGAGCGGTTCAAATTGTTCTTGTGATCAGTTGCTGTGGTCATTGTAAAAAGTCCATCCGCAAATCCAGCATTGTGAGGGAAGGAGGTGAGGACCTCTGACACAAGAGTCTCTAGATCAGTCGCTACCAAACCGTTAATCCTAGCATTTGTATCCCAAAGCACTAGCTGAAACCCTGGTGGTTTGTCTGGTAGTCCTCCCGAGGCAAAGCTGCCTAGTTCCCATAGGCCATTTACCTGTCTGCAGAGAGCGGGGTATCTTACTGCAACCACTGCATGGTATGTCACAGGACTAACTCTGGAGCTGGAGGGAAGCATTAACCCCCAAGCATGGATGTCACTCACACCAGCGGTTTGGGAGTTTAGGGTTGCTTGTATGTCCCCAGCCATGGGCAGGAGGGTAGCGGCATGTTGCAAGATCCAGGCAAGGCGCACAAGAGACCGTGGAAGATTGAGAGCAGCACCCTCCAGCAGTTCCGATTCTACGAAACGGGAGTGTTGCTGCATATTGGGTTGCGTTGCTTTAAATACGGCTTGGAGGCCTGGAAGAACAGCTCTGGCTGCTTTGAGATCTTCCTCATCTTGTGGCGATAGCTGACTTGTCCATAGCCGGCCTAAAGTGGACTGTCCTCGTTTGAGAATTTGACTAAGGGTCGTCAGACCTTCATTTGCCGAACCGTCTAGCAGTCGGATCATAGCATCGGCAAGGGTGGCTGGCGTGTAATAATTGCGGTTGCTTCGCAGGCCATGCTTTTTGGCGAGCAGTAGTTGTCGTGAGCGCTTTGCGTTGCGAGCTGCCCGATCAATGCCGCCAGGTGTTTGCTCTGAGTCTCCTGTCCACAATACCAGAGGTTGCTGCCTCAGCAGGCTGATAACTGCAATTTCTCGGTCAGTGCCATACTGCTGGCCTTCATCAATGACCAGGAGGGAGAGCTCTTGCATAAAACCCCCCATTGTGGACCATTGCATGGTAAGATCCTGGGCTACCGTTCCCCCGGTGGCTAAGATTAGCTGACACTTGTGCAACATTTGCCTTCTTTCTTTCGGGTGGATATCAAATTTGGTGTGGGAGTAACTGCTTTTGTTGCGCTCTTGGTCTCCCACCAGCCTACCTATGCGCCCAAACACCCCCGACGGGGGGTCGAGCCATAGGAGGAGGTCAGCAAAAGATCTAGTACCGGAGTTCTCTTTACAAATGAACAATATCTTAAGGCTGTCGGTAGTATCGATTTCAATCAGCGCCAGGATGAGGATTGCCATCGATTTCGACTTGCCTGCTCCGAAGAGCCCTTGGATGCACAGGTCTAGCCGGTTGGTGAGCAAAGCCATTGTCACTGCACAGAGTGTGCCTAAAACATGTCCGTCAATTTCAGCGGCAAAGGATAGTGCTGTGGAGCGAGTCCAGGGGTGAAGCTCACCTTCAACGTGACATGGAATTAGCACTAGGCGCAGCAACTGACCGCACAAGTGCAAGAAGTGTGATCTTTTGTTGCCCTGCATTCCCTCCACTGCTGTTTGGACATTATATATGCCTAGGCCCAGGTGGTACCTGCACGGGGAGGTTTGCGCGACAGCTGTAAGCTCGCGGGTAGGCTTGGTACATCCAAACATCCACATTGTGTGGAGAAAAAAGGTCTTTGGAACCGGACTGTTTCGCCCCTGGACAGTTGCATCAATAGGGTCCAGGCGTTGGCCAGAATCAGCGTACAAGTCTTGGAGGGTTTCAAGCTGTTCCTTTGCAAAGAAATCAATGGCTGGTACGGTGAGGAAGGCGACCTCAACGAATTTAGGGTTACATTCGCTTGTGTGCTTTGGCCTCCCGGTGCAGGGCCACGCCAAAAAGGCGAAAACCACGCAGAAGCATAGCCCCACGCAAGCACCAGGCGCAGCCGGCGGCGCACACCTTTCCACACCATGTGACCCAGGTCACCCAACGGTAGGTGGATCCACACACCGGGTGGTAAGCAACCGCGACCATTCATTTCCCAAGTGGATCCACTCACCGAGTGACGTGGGAACCAAAAAGGAACCCATTCATTTCACCCAAGATGATCACCACTCAAGGGACGTGGAACACGGGCACCCACCACCACACAAGGTGTTCACCACCATCACCGAAGGGGAAACCATCACACGATGCCCCCATTGGTTCCCGGACTCCTGCTCGTACAGGAGAAGAACGACCAAAGAAAGGAGTGGTCGAACTAAGTCACCTTTTCAGTGACCCCAGTCCCAATGGAGCACAGCTCGAACCTTGGATTAGGTCCTTACTGTGGCCAGACTGTACATGAAGGTTGAGAGTGGACCGGTCGGTGACCCAGTCGTTAGCGATCCCATGCATCCCCGGAGGGAAACACCTGTCTCACGACAGGACCCTAACACTGTTAGGGAGGAACCGACGGTCTTGTCCACCGTGAGCTTGGCTACCCACGATGAATTTTGACCGTTAGCCAACGGGTTGCCCCGTTGACCCCTCCTCGAGACGAGTCCCCAAGTCTCTAAGAGGTTCACCGACCTTGCCTGTTCCCCCGTGTCATCATAGGGTGTTGCTACCCTAGACACAAGGTAAGGTGAGACCCGTCAGTCCCGTACCACGTGTGTACCGATCGGTCCGGGAGAACCCCGAGAAACCGCACGATCACCCAAGGATGTGCGCAAACACAAACGAGGGTGTGACATGAGGAGCAACCCAACATGTCAACACACGCCGACTAGGGGGTACGAAGGTACCGTGTCCGTTCACGGTTCGTTAGGGACGGGGGCCTTCAGCAACTCCCCTGCGCTATACTCAAGTTTAACGTCCCCCCGGACCCTCACGGGTCCACCTCCCCCTCTTACAGACATGCCTCTTGGCGGGCCGCAACCTCCGCCCGGGCTGTCTGTATATACGTGAGGCTGCCAGCTCATCCTTCTTTTTGGCTGCACGCGGTGTGATGGCGAGGACCAATCCAAACAGGACTTGGAGGTCATCTCCGTCATCAGCTGGTGCTTCTGCTGTGCCAACCATGGCGATGAGCCTACCTGTGCCAATGGGGCTGACTTTGTGATGGTGCGCATCACTGGCAAGTAGGCTAAACACATCAGTTTTACCAAGGCTTGGATGTCGGAACGCGAATGCATCCTGTCCGCCTTTGACTCTCCAGTGGCCAAACTCGCTGCCTTTGAAGAGGAACTCCAGGGCAATGGGTTGTGATGGCTGTCGAACCGGTCCTGCACTTTGCATTGTTAACCCTGTTTCATTTTATTCTACACTCCACAAACGCGCGTCAGTTTTCCAAATGTGTGACAAATAACACCGATATAAAAATATCAGTCGCATGTCAAAAAAAACGAGAGATGAAATCTGAAATGAAAACACGACGTTCAAAAGCAGCCGCAATACTTTTTCACCGGGGAAAGGTTCAGCACCTTCCGCTCTCTGGGCTGAAGGGTGTGGCCTAGTAAGACCAATGTAAATGGTAAGAGGAGAATTGTTTCGAGGGTGGGAAAAAGTTTTCGCGAGAAAACAGGGAGGGAAAGACGAAAAATTATCCGTCAATAAGGGTAAAAACCCTCCCACCCAACCCTTGAGAGAAAATGTTTCAGATGAAACGGACAATTCATCACATCTTAAGAGAGGTTGAGTTTTGGAAAAACAAAAACGCGCACGAGAACAAAACAGTTTTGTTGTCAAACCAAGTTTGTTCAAATAAACTTTTTGTTCTCAAAAAGTTGCGTGTGCAAATAAGAGAGAGTTTCTCAAGAGAAACTCACAACTTATTCTACACTCCACAAACGCGCGTCAGTTTTCCAAATGTGTGACAAATAACACCGATATAAAAATATCAGTCGCATGTCAAAAAAAACGAGAGATGAAATCTGAAATGAAAACACGACGTTCAAAAGCAGCCGCAATACTTTTTCACCGGGGAAAGGTTCAGCACCTTCCGCTCTCTGCCCCAGTCTCTAACTCAAGGTGCTGGGCAACTTTCTCCCAATCTATGTTGGTTTCCATTGCTCCAAGCTTTTTGACTTTGTCAAACCTGAGCCGACTGGGATCATCCGCCGGATTGCTGAAACTCGGCACTCTGCCGAACCACACCCGGTGTTGCAGCCGGGCCTCTTCTTCCACGAAAACTTGGATGAGCTTGCTGGCTCTCAAAGTCTCGCCATCGCCCCGCACAAACGCAAGCCGGGCTGACTCATTGTCAATGTAGTATACCACCTGTGAGGTAGCAAATAGGGATCCCCACAAGGTGGCAGCAATGACAACTGGTAGTATTTCCAATTCGTGGATTGGATTTTGTGACCTCGAGAGCAAGTCCTGCATGATAACCGCGGGGACACTTCCGCCGAAATATTTCAAACATTCGCCACTGGGGCTGTATAAAACGCCTCCCACTGATCCAGATGCTGTCTCAGGTTCGCACGCACCATCTGTAAAAATGTACCAGGTCGAATGCACGGAAGGTTCAATGGTCAGCGGCTTCCCCACAGCAACTCTCTGTTGAAGGAAAAGCAGCGCGCGCCTCAATGGCTCGTCAAGGGGTTTGGACTTGATAGGCCCCATGCAACACCTGCCGACTGCTTTCACGGAGGAGTTTGCAACTCGTCCAAAAGTGTACCCTTCAAAAAATATCATTCTGCCCCTTAAACGCTCGGCGTCCTTTGCGCCAATACATCCAGCCTGTAGGAAACCTGCAAGTTGTCCTTGAAGCTCCTCTCGCCGCCCTTCTGTGTGCCCAATCTGCACGGCACCTTGTTCAAACTGTTGTGTATTGATCTCCAACCCCAACGTCTTGAAGTTGTCACTGAAAGGCACGCATTTATGCCCCTCTCTTGCAAAATCCATACCAAGCAAATCAAGCAAACTCTCACATGCCCAACTGCTGCTATGTTCAAGTTCTGCTCGAGAGAGGAGTGTGAAGTCGTCGTAAAATGCGCTCCACAACAAGCCCAATCCAAAGTACCCTACGTACCATATGGCCTGGCTGATCCTCAAAAATCCTGCCACTGATCCCACAGCCCCAAATGGTAGGGAATTGAAGCCGATTACTGCCATGCCTTGAGAGCCTGGACGGTTCACCCCCATGCGCAATGTTGAGCGATCCATGGGATGCACCGCAAATTGCTTGTAGGCCGAGCGCAAGTCATATGTACGGCCTCGTACTGGCGGCCTCGCCCCTGCAGGGCACATCTTCAATGCAAACCCTATCAGCGCCGCCAGGAAATCCACTGAATGGAGCTTGAACTTCTCGTGCAAACCTACTGTGAGATTCAGTCCACAGCATGTGCAATCATCAATGACTCGAATCTTGTGTCCTTGCTGTAGCCCAAAACGGCGACCCAAAAACTTACCTTCTGTTGAGCCACTGTCGTCCAAAAAGATCCAACCTTTTTCCAACTCAGCTTCAGTTTCTCGCCACGTGGCCTCTTCAAGCTCAGCCTCTTGCCTCTTGCCAAAGGCCTCCAAGTTGTTTGCATTGAACGCCCTACTCATCTTCCTCAGTGTCTCCAAAGACATGGCAGGTCGTTTGGATTTTGTTCTGAAGACGTTGGATTTGGTCATGTAGCCGCTCAAGCGAAAACCAGAAGCTATGTCGTCTACCAGTTTCTCGTCTGGATAATTGAGATCGCTTAGCATCTCTTTGAACAGCACCAATCGCTTTGGGCCCACCACTTTGCGCACGTGTTCCGGCATGGACTGCCGAAGTTCGTCCTCCTTTGCATTGAGCTCCTTGGCCCGTTTTGTCCACTTCTTGAAGAACTCTACGCGCCTTTTTGCAAGTGCAAAAGGAGGCTCTAACATGTTCATCTGCACCACTTCTCTCATGGCACTGTCTATGTGCACGTCCAAGCCTCTGGGGTGACCTGCTTGTACTGCTCGGGCCACAAATTCTGCTGGTTCGCTCGGCACCCCAACCCAACATAGCTCCACCATAGCATCGAGCGGTGCACAGTCAGCGCCCTCCAGAAAATGTCCCTCTTCACTTACGACCCGTACTGCTCCCCTCTTTAATAACTGTCGTGAGGTGACCTTTGACCCCTTTGGCAGTGACGCAAGGAAGCTGTCAATCTTGTCAGTTTGTTGTGTAGGTGCCACCACCGCCACATAATTGCCAAACTCGGCAACCAAGGGTCGTATTTTGGCGCCTCTTGGCAGAGCACCCAATGCTATGCGTCCAGCCGCGTCTGCGTCCGGCTGTTCCACTTGCTCACTTAATGTGGTGGAAAAAATGGCACCAAACTGAACAACTTTGTGTTTGACACAGTCCACAATGCGCTGGCACAGCACTGAGGGGTAGGCTGCCTCTTCAGCCGTAGGAAAGTGCACCTTCTGCTTTGAAATTGTCACTTTCCACGATTTGTGCTCATGGGACTTGTCGCATCTAGCTTCCAATGAATCAATCCAATCATCGTTGACCCAGACTGCAGTCAACTTGTCACGCCAACCGCCGTGGCAGCAGTTATGAAAGTTCACATACTTGCTGCCAAACTCTGCTATGATATTTGCCATCGGTGTTGTGCCCCAATAATGGCTGTTGCTTGGATTTTCAATGCCAGTGAAGATGCCTGCCCTGCATGCTGTCCTGGTGATCTGCTCGACCGCGCTGTAAAGCAAGTTGGCCTTTTCGACCTTGACTTTATTTGTGCCATTCAGTCCATCAAGTTGGTCTGGTTGTGTCTCCGACCGTAATGGCACTGGCACTTCCACTCCAAGTTGTTGTAGCTGCGGAAGCCTGCGCTCTCGCGCTCTGCTGGCCGTACCACATGACGGTGCTATCCATATGGCCGCTATGTTGGCTGCTTCAGCCTCCAGGAAGTTGCAGAGCTCATCCACCTGGGATTGGTCTTCAAGTTCGAAGATGCAAATATCAACGCCACAAGACCTGCTGCTAGTATGGTCGATGGCAATCCCTGTGAACCCTGCATCGCGTGCAGCGCGCGTCAATTTTGCACTTCCAGCGCATATCTCCACAAATATGAGGTCGCTGACAAGTTTGCCACTGAATTTCTGGCGGTAGTTTGTTGCAGCGCTCCCCAACTGAGTACCCTTAGGGTGTTGAGAATCATGTGAAACTTCAGGTGTTCTGCGGCCCATGTCTTCAACAGTTTTGCCTTTCGCCCCTGATGACACTGAAGGTGTGTAGCGGCCTCTGTCTTCAACAGTTTTGCCTTTTCCACCAACTTTGCAAGCTCTAGGGTCGATGTTCGACTCCTGATCCAGTGAAACTGCTTTGCGTTTCCCACCTGGCCGTTGTGCCCGACCAGTGGGGCTGCTTTGTCAACCACCTTTGTTGTCAGCCAGCCCTCTGCACACCACCACTGAGTGCCCTGGTTTGTGGCAATGGGCGCATACGTGAAATCCTTTGACACACCGTGATGGCTTCCCTGATGTCGAGTTTTTGCATCCCGTCTTCATGTTGTACGCCCAACACACGGGGCCATGCTCACACCGTAGTTGAAACTTTCTGAGCTCTTCCGGACATCCCTTCTCAGCGCGAGTCTTGCGCTTCTTGTTGGTGCTCTTTGCAGCAGCTTGTTGTGGTCCAACAGGATTTGTCCTCTTGGGTGCAATCTCCTTGTCCGTCACCTTTGTTGCCGACGTAGTGGGGAGCAGAAACATGGTGATGCGCGGGTCTTGGCACAGCCTTGGAAACATGCTGTCCAACGGGATATCTCCTGCCATGTTTGGCTTGAGTCCACCTTTGCACTCCTGCGCCAAGAGAGTCCACATCTCTCTGTCTGCTCTCACAAGCTGGTCGATCTTGACCTGTTGGAATCCCGGTGGAGGCACTTGGCTCAATGTCCTGAAGAGCTGGTGCACCCAAGCATCGTGTACTGCCCATGAAAGTAACCTGCATTGATCCATTGCTAGCCCCCGTCGTTGCCAACACCACTGGAGCTTTATCTCGCTTCCATAGTCAGCCTTGAACTCATCTGACACTTGTGCAACCTTCAGTTGCTGGTTCTCGATCTGCACAGAGGAAGGTTTGTCTCTGATCGCCAACTGCACTTCATCTGATCTCTTGGTACAGCGGCTGGGTGCTATCCAGACTATCGCCCCAGTCTCGATGATGTTGTTGGTCAAGTCAAGCAGCTGATGGCTTGGCTCTAGCTCGCCGCTGATTGCGACACCTGCCAAGCGCCTTTCTTGCTGTTCCAACCTGTGCTTCTTCTCTGCTATTGGGATCCGTTTGACGCTGTCAACCTTGTCTGCAGCTTCACTGTCCACCTTTTGCTTGACTGACGCAATCATCAACGTGGTCGCCTCAAAATGAAGGCGTCTAATCATAGATGTCTGCCCCAAGGTAGCGTTTGCTCCAAACACCGCTTGTGCAAGCATAGTGAACTGCTGGTCCGTGGGCGGTGTCTGAGGCGTTCCCAAAGCAAACGCCATACCGCTGAAGGACACTATGTTCTGCAGTGCCAGGGCATCTACAAATGCCCCACTCGGGTCGATTTCACTGGAGCGTTGCCTGAACGCCGCATTGCTCTCAACCAGAGCCATGGCAACTGACGGTCGGTGTTCGACTAAAATCAAAGAAAAGAAAAATTGTTATATTCCATCTGATCTTTGACTGAGGTTGGCTTCGAAGTGATGATGACATCTCCTTCATCTCGCCTCACCTAGAGTTGATTTTGCCTCGTGTTTGGTCCATGCAATAAACTATTGCTGAGCCGCTCCACGACAAACAAAAAATTGTGCACTTGCTCCCCGATCGTGGTCATGTGACACATTCCATGCATGCCCTATCACCAATGCCACCATCAAAATGTTGTTCAGACAACATGCCAAATCACGACAACACGCACATATGAGACCCTACTGCTGTCAGCAATCTTTTGGACTCAGTGCTGTGTCTGATCGTGCACGTGTCTCACAGCAATCGCAGTAATGGCAGAACTCTACGTGTCATCTACGCATCAGTGCTGTGTCACTGTAAACAGTTGAGTCAATGACATCCAAAAGAAAAACAAAAGTGCCGCATTGATTCAAAACTTTAAGCACTGACCTTCAAATGCGTTCTGACATCGTGAGCTCAAACATTCGATGGGGCAAGCAAAACGCTGGCAGTGACTCTCACTCTTTGTTTACATGCCAACATGTAACAAGTCTGCACCATGAACCAGGGGTTGGAAAACTTGGAGTTCGTTATGACAAAAGTTCTGCACACAGGATCATGATTTCTGTCATGTGTTCGGCATCAGAGTCTATACCTGGTGGAGTTAAGGTCACGACATTCCCAACTGCTCCCGCTGCTCGTCTCATTACGAGGTCGCTGCAGTTGCCACGGCAGACAGTTGTGTGACGTCACTGCCAACATGTGAGAACAAGATTGAAACTTCTCTACATGAGCAAATGAAGTGAACACCTCTGGGACATTCTTGCACTTTGAAATCCTGAACAACCAGAGTGCCGGACAACGCTGCTCTGTGCCAGAGGCTTCACCAATTGCCCTAGTAGCTGCCGAGAAGTTGATCAATCTGACATCTTGCAAAGAAGGAAAACAAACAAGAATTGATTGATGACTTTTGGTTTATGCATTGATACCCTTACCGCCTTTGTGATTCCTTGCACACTTCATTCTTGCATCTGCTTGATCAGAAACAAAACACAAACAGGTTGAGGTTCCGACGCATTGCAAGATTCAAGGAAGAGACACGGTTTGGTTCAAGTATCCATGCACATGCAACGCCGTCCATGTTGTGATGTTTCACATTCACAAGCATGATGAAAAATTCAAAGAACTTGCTTCAAATCTTATCCAGGGGCACCGGCTGTCTCTGAGTTCACTGCCGCTACATCACTCGCCCTGGCCTTGTTGAAGCAGGCCCAACAGATCGGCGAGTCGAACCTGGGCTCCTGAGTTAAACGTTGATGAAAGGCACCCACAGACCTGCCACACACAAAAACTCTGAAGTATCCAGGCTCAGTCAAGTGGACAGTCTTTAGCTTGCTGTGTTGCCATCTGGAGAAACCCTCTGGAGGTTGCGGCGGGGCAAACACTTTGTTCAAACCGCGGTCCCTGAGCACCTCCTCTGCAGAAGAGTCGGAGCTAGACGTGCTGTCAGATGACTCTGATGCAGGTGCAACATCATTCCTTTCTTCATCAGATGACATGACTTGTTCCACTTTGACTGCATCTTTTTGAGGTCCAGGCTGTTCCATGGGAGAGTCAATAACTCTTCCGCTTCTGGTGCTGTCAGGTTTGAATTTCCCTTTGGCAATCTCTTCAATCAAACGCTCAAGAAGAATCAAACTAGCAGCAGCACCGTCACGTGGATAAACCAAGGCCATATGCATCTGTGAAGAATGGTATCCAAGCATGAGTCTATCAGGTACTGACAGTCCACGCTTTGCTGCAAATGAAAGCATGGTACACTTAAGGCTGTGACTGCTGATACGCCTTTCAGGCCCATCTGTTTTGCTCTCCTCCACGTTCAGCAAGCGGCGCAACCATTTGCCGCACTCACCTGATTCCAACGGTCTCTGCGTCGGCTCACCATTCTTGTCTGGCGCAGGCATGATGAGGCCTTCCGGCGGGAAAGCTAGGCCCATGGATGTTCTGTGATTCATCCACGGCGTTGCCCAGTCACATCCATGGACACCCTTCACTGGTGCCACCATGGGAAGGAACTGATGTCGATGCATCTGCGAACTCATGGTCTTGTGCCTCCCAGTGCGAGTCTCCAGATACGCTGGCTGTTTGTTGTCGTCGACATCCAAAAAGGCTGTCTCACTTCGCATCAGGTCACCCCAGCGTCCTCTGCAATAGCAACACAGCAAGGCTGCTCCAGCGAATATTGCGTCCCAAATGTCTGGAGCTTCATCTACCACTTGATGAAGCTTTTGGAGCTCCACAACTGTGAGTGGGCTCGCCTGCTTCCTTTCCCTTGGGCACGTCTCTCTTGCAACTCCGCTGCATCGCTTACTGTCAAGCACCGTCTGTAGCTCTTGTACGTCCAGCACATGCCGGCAGAATGCTATGGCTTGTATGTAGCCCTGTAACCTGCTGGCTGGGGCTCCATGCAACTGCTCATGACATAGGAACCTGTAAAAAGTGATCTCCTTCATGGGAAAGAGTTCCAACATCTCTGATTCCAAGTAGTTGCACACTCTCAGTATGGCAGTGCCACGTTTTCTGACTGTCACCGGTGCACGTCCTGAGAAAACATGTGCAAACATGTTGAAAACCTCGGCCTCATTGCGCATGTCTGCAATTTTGCCCAACAGAGAACAGCTGTCACTCCATTTGCTTGTCACACCAGTCCAAAGCATGATACCACGTTGCAAGTCTGCATCTCTCTGCTCTGGCCAGGGAACATCTGGTTTGAATGACACCACATCCATGAAGTTGCATGAGTGCATCCTACCACGCTTCAAGGAACCACCATGCTCTGTGTCCAAAACCTGTTGATCGATTCCCCATAGCAAAGGTGTAGGCCTAGACATCTGTTCGCCCCACACGCCAAATTCAATGCCTGAACTGTCACCTCCAAAAATGTATTTCCAGATTCCCGTTTCCCAAACTTGTCTTGGTCGTTCGGACTCTGTTGAATTGAAAGCAACATTCAAAGCAGCATCAAAGTTGAAAGAGTTTGTACTGTCACGACCATGTACATCTGTAGAGCCTATTGCATGCAACAAATCACTACCTCGTCCTCCATAGACATCTTGTGTAGCAATTGTCGTAGGACTGCAAACTGAAAGTCCCTCATCACCCTGCAATGGTTCTACAGTCCCAAACAGGTTGTCAGTGTAGTCATCGTTTGTGTCAGCATTTTCAGGTTCATCTCCCTGTCTCATGATCTGTAAATCGTCAGAGAAACTGTTGAAAGGAGTCCCATCCAAGCTAGCACTCAACCTACCATCAACTGAATGACCTCCAGGATTGTCCTCTGCTTTTTCCATGGTCCTAACAGCACCGACCTACCCCCATGAAAGACGAAAAATTATCCGTCAATAAGGGTAAAAACCCTCCCACCCAACCCTTGAGAGAAAATGTTTCAGATAAAACGGACAATTCATCACATCTTAAGAAAGGTTGAGTTTTGGAAAACAAAAACGCGCATGAGCACAAAACAGTTTTGTTGTCAAACCAAGTTTGGTCAAACAAACTTTTTGTTCTCAAAAAGTTGCGTGTGCAAATAAGAGAGAGTTTCTCAAGAGAAACTCACAACGAATTAGTCGCCGAAACTCCAAAGGACGAAGCAAGTGCACCACACTCGGACTTATTATTGATTTCCTTTTTGATTCCAGTAATTGCACTGTCGGGGGTCAAATCTGAAGCCGGTCATGATTCCAGCTGAGCTTATGCTTGGTGCGTTGGATGGGCCATGATTCCATCATTGTCAAATGCTGACACAAAGTACCATGATGCTAAGTGTCAGAGCACCCGATGATTCCCTCATGATTCCAGCTGAGCTTATGCTTGGTGCGTTGGATGGGCCATGATTCCATCATTGTCAAATGTTGACACAAAGTACCATGATGCTAAGTGTCAGAGCACCCGATGATTCCCCATTTTTGGGTGGGAGTGAGTAACGGGGTGGGTGACAAAAATGTTCCCTTATTTTAAAGGGATTCCCGCCCTCTCACCACTTGATTGGGAAAAGCCACAGCATTTCAATTGACGATGTGACGAGCCAAGGATGTGGTTTGTTTCCAATGGAACTGCTGAATGCCACATCGAAAATTCAAAATGAAAAAAGGGAATAGAACGCCAAATTGTTTGCGTCACTATGTTTGGTTGGATGTTTCAACCATTGACAAACATTTGTTTACCACCAAACAGGGATGATTCTTGTTGATCCTTATTTGTGAGACTTCACAAATTTTTGTTTGGAGAAATAAGGCTTTCATCTTTTTCCAAAAGAGTGACATCTTATTTCTCCACAAAACCAGGATCAGGTGAGACCAATCCAACACTGGTGGTGGAAGTTTCATTGTCACGTTGATATCCATATAATTATATGTTAATTTATATGGCATATCGTTGTGAAGTAAGGTAAGTGGAATTTCTGTAAATATGATGTTCACAATAAACCTTACTACAAAAAAGAATTAGTCGCCGAAACTCCAAAGGACGAAGCAAGTGCACCACACTCGGACTTATTATTGATTTCCTTTTTGATTCCAGTAATTGCACTGTCGGGGGTCAAATCTGAAGCCGGTCATGATTCCAGCTGAGCTTATGCTTGGTGCGTTGGATGGGCCATGATTCCATCATTGTCAAATGTTGACACAAAGTACCATGATGCTAAGTGTCAGAGCACCCGATGATTCCCCACTGTGACAAGTGCTCTGGCAGGACCAATTCGACTTTGCTTGCTTGCCTAAGCCAGGGTGCATCGAAGTTCATCCTTGAGGGTTCATCTGATGGGTTGCTATGGCTTGCAACCCTCGCGAACCATGGAGAAAAACGGCATTTGTATTCAAATTCGACATACTCAGCAATCAAGGCTGCTCCAAGGTCGGTCGAGGCGTGGGCACGAACGAAAGCAGATCTTGCTGCATCGTTATCCAAATAGTGAACCACAAGTTTGCCTACTATATGCGTTGACCATATCTTGACAGAGACCAGCAAAGGAAAGATCTCCAGTTCATAGATTGGATGGTTCGACTTCGCCAAGAATTCTTCAAGGAGAGGCTGCGGGAGGTAAGCACCGAAGAAGGAAACTACTTTCCCACTCGGGTTCACCAAGATTCCGCCTATTGAAGCAGGCTGCGTGTTGGTGGGCTCAAAAGCGCCGTCCGTAAAAATTATCCACGTCTCATTGATATCACGGTTTATGGAAACCTGCCTGATCGACACTAGGTGATTCTTCAATGTTTCCAATGCCGATCTAAGCTGATCGTCAACGCGGATGGACGGACCCGGCTTTCTCGAGTGCCATGACAGGATCCTGGTGGCCGCGTTCAGTCTCCTCCCAAAAACAAAGGTGCGAAACCAGACTATCCTGCCATGCAATCTCTCAAGAGTCTTGGTTCCCACTGAGTTGTGGCTTAGGATTTCGTCAATGCATTCGAGAAGTTCCTTCGACCTCTCCTCCGTGTGTCCAACTTTGACCTCTCGGTTCCCCACGTTCTCTGTGTTGACCACCAATCCCAAAGTCTTGAAGCAGTCTGAAAACGGGGGTGCTTTTGATCCTTCCGAGGCAAAGTTTATGCCGAGTAGCTTGAACAAAGCTTCCGCATAAAATGTGGTGTCCAGCTCAAGGCCTGACGGTGAGAGAGCAGTGTAGTCGTCGAAGAATACCGACCATGGAATGCAAAGACCTTTCGAGCCTATGAAAGCAATTGCAGACGAAATCCTGAGGAAAGCCGAAACACTGCCAGTGGCTCCGAAGGGTAACGCCAAAACTCTGAAAAATGCAACTCCTCCACCAGGTTTCTTCACAGCGATTCTGAGCCTCTCCGAATGTGGCACATCCACTCCAAATTGCTTGTAGGCCGACTTCAAATCAAATGTCCTTCCCAAAAGTCCTTTGCCTTTGTTTACAAAACTCTGGGAGTCAAGTAGGACCGAGATGCCCGCCAGTATTTCGTCTATGGCGTCAACCCTCAGCTTCTCCGACATGCCAAAGGCCGAATTTACCCCACAGATCGAGAAGTCGTCGATGAGACGTGTTTTCTCTCTCTGCTGAATTGGGAACCTCTTCGCTATGAATTGTTTGCCCAGATCGGGGTGCGGTTCTTCAGCCAACCATCCGTTTGCCACCTCTTGCATTGTTTCATCCCACGCTACCTGGTCGACCGGCATCCAGTCAGATGATTCAAGGGAGGCTACAACTGCCATGTTGAGCCCCTTCGCCATACCTTCAAGTTGTTCCATGGAAGAGTCTGGCGGCTTCACTCTAGTCTGGAAAACGCCCGAAGACTGGGCCCACCCCGTCAAGGGGAAACCCCGACAGATTTCGTCAACGATCTTCGAGTCTGGGTACTGAAGGTCCAACAGAATCTCTTTCCACAACAATAGCTTTTTGTCTTTGAGCAGAGGTTGGAGGTGCGCAGGGAGACCGGCATGGAGTTGCTGCTCTTCTGCTCTGAGCTGGACGGCTCTTTTCATCCATTTTTTTAGGAAGTTGGCACGCTTGGCCTTGATCTCAAACGGGCTACTAAGGAAAACTTCCTCCAGGACTTCCCTCATCAATGCAGGAACTCGAGCGAAGGCCCGCCTTGGATGTCCTATTGCGTGGGCATCTTTTAGGAAGTCCGATGGGTCCCTTGGGATCCCAAGAGTGAGAACTTCGAAATGTGCCCCTTCTTCAATCGGGGAAGCTAAGGTGTTTGACTTCCTCCTCCATTCGTCCCGTGTGAACCCCCAATGCAATTGACGATGGATAACGTTGGTACCTTTTGGGAATTCTCCTATACCACAACCAAAGTCTGTATCCTAATAAACCCTCTCAACCCTTATCGCGTCCAGATCCTACGCAAGCGCATACGTATCGTACGTGGGGTATATAAAAATATATACACGAAACATACCCTCACATATACGCAAACCAAAAACAAGAACCCAAAAACACAGTGAACATCCAAAAACTGAGTCTGACATGTCTGAACACTGCAGGTGGCTTCAACAACATCAAAAACATCACTGCAAAAATCACAAAAACTGAACATGTGGAAAACGGTGGATTTGATGCACTCGGTCGCTTCGCTTTTTCACGCCTTTGCGTTGAATGATCCGGGGTTAAGTTTCAAGTGGCCACGTTCGCACAAGGGTGCTAGCTGCTTGGGTAGGTTCAAGTCCATTCTGGCAACTTGATGCTATCTTGAGATAGCTGTATGGATTGTTTTCCAGCTGGACTGCAAGATACCCCCCCTTGATATGGGATTTTCGGGTGGGAATTGATAGGGTGGGACAGGAAAAGTCCCATAGCAAAGAAATGAACGACGACCCTCCCACCACACCCTTAAACATGAGTGGCTACACAGAAACAAATAATCATCAGATCTAAAAGTTTCAGATGTATCTTTGATACTCTGACATGACAACCCAACATGTGCAATTCTTTCTGAAAGATTGCAGTTGTCAAATTAAAACTTAAAAACAAAGATTTCAACGGTTTGGATTTTAACTGTTTTGGGTTTCATTGTTTGGTTTTCAGGTTTGCGCAGGCGTGTGTAGAGGGCGCGTAAGGAGAGGTAGAGGAAGAGAGAATTAGGTATACAGACCGGACTATACCTAGTATAGTGCTGTTTGGGTGGCTAGAGAGAAAGTACTGTCAGCTCGCTGAAATTCCCTTCTCCTATACCACAACCAAAGTCTGTATCCTAATAAACCCTCTCAACCCTTTATCGCGTCCAGATCCTATGCAAGCGCATACGTATCGTACGTGGGGTATATAAAAATATATACACGAAACATACCCTCACATATACGCAAACCAAAAACAAGAACCCAAAAACACAGTGAACATCCAAAAACTGAGTCTGACATGTCT